ACACACACACACAAACAAACCACAGTCTGGCCAGCTGCTATGGGAAGACGAGAGGTTTTGAATGGGAGTGACAGCTGTGGATTCCTCAGGATGAAGGAGGGAGAAAGAGAGCGATAGGAGATAGAAAGCAAGAGAGCAATATAAGTTGGAGGAGAAATTAGTGTGTGTCAGTGGGAGCGGGAGCGGTAGCTGGAGAGAGAGCTGGAGCCTGAATGGCAAAGAAAGACGCAGACGAGGAGGAATGAAAAGAGGTTTAGTGCGTCAGGAACACTTATGACTGATTTATTAATGATATAATGATTTCCTTTCTATTCAACCAGATTTAGGTACACCAGCTTGACTTTTTTCATGCAATAAAGCAGATTGGAATAACAATGTATAGAACCTGAAACCTTAACTTTCATTATATTATTACTTATTATACCTTCCCCTTACTTCACTGACAGTCTGTCTACAAAAACTTTTGCTTTTCCTAAATTATGAATAAAATGAACACAATGATTAATTGAATACATCAAGATGTGATTTAAGAATGACCAAAGAATATTCCCATGGTATTTGGTACTTATTGAGGGGGAAGTAGTATTGAGGTCTGATGAGACAGAGAGCTCCCAGAGTAAAGAACATGTGATCCTAACTGTCAGTACCAAACTATTCATAGAGATCCTGTGTTTCACAAGGCTGATTAAGCAACTCTGTAGAGTTTTTTTTTAGTGAATACACCCTCACCTCCTGCACCTTTTACTCTATTTGAGCAATAATCACTTCTATACTGATGAATGTATTTGGCCCTATGCTAAACACAAAGCAGAGTGAATCAAACTGTATCAATAAAATAGTTTTTCTAAACTATAGCTGTCTTATTGGGGTTTCCTGGGAAAATTGCTTTGGTTCACAGGATTTTTTTGATTTCCAGAAGCCTAGATCATTGTCTTGAACAAATAGATCAAGATGTTGGTATGAGCATGAGCTGCAACACCCACCACGGTTGAACAGACAAAGAAAACAAACCGCACCATCTACAGAAGCTCAAATCTCATCAAACAGAAAGAAAGATGTCACATTACTGCAAACAGTTTGAATGACAGGTGATCTCTGCAGAGACACTCACCACCACACTTCCCCAAAAGTAAAGTAAGGATATTGTAGCATTGCACAACTGGCAACAGTCAGCTGAAATGACCCATGCTGGGAAATAGTTTCTCTTCTATATGCCAATAGACATAGTGTGTGTCTCGCAGCCTACTATATATATAAAAAAAGAACTAAAACTCTACGCATTATTATGTAATGACAAATTTAAAGGAAT